TTTTAAGGTAGTACTCTTGTAACTACCAGCCAAGTCAATAAATAGAACTTTTCCAGCCACTTGGAAGCCTCTCCATGATCCCTATACCACTTTCAATCCCCTCCCACCCACCAAAAGTAATCTCTATCCTGACTAGTAACCATTTCCTTGCACTTCTTTATAATGTTACATTTACGTGAGAATCACTCAATAACATAGTTTCATAATACTAAAATTTTGTTGTCTTTAAAGTAACTTTTTATTTTTATTTATTTATTATTTATTTTATTTTATTTTATTTTTGCGGTACGCGGGCCTCTCACTGTTGCGGCCTCTCCCATTGCGGAGCACAGGCTCCGGACGCACAGGCTCAGCAGCCATGGCTCACGGGCCTAGCCGCTCCACGGCGTGTGGGATCTTCTCAGACTGGGGCACGAACCCGTGTCCCCTGCATCGGCAGGCGAACTCTCAACCACTGCGCTACCAGGGAAGCCCCTAAAGTCTTTTTTTAAATTGGAGTATAGTTGATTTACAATGTTGTATTAGTTTCAGGTATACAGCAAAGTGATTCAGTTTTACATATATATATATATATATATATATATATATATATATATATATACATATACACACACATATTTTTCAGTTTATTTTCCATTATAGGTTATTATAAGATATTGAATATAGTTTCCTGTGTTGTACAGTAAATCCCTGTTGCTTCTCTATTTTATGTGTAGTAGTTTGTATCTATTAATCCCATGCTCCTAATATATCTCTCCTCCTCCCTTTCCCCTTTGGTGACCATAAGTTTATTTTCTATGTCTGTGAGTTGATTTCTGTTTTTTATATAGATTCACTTGTATTATTTTTTAGATTCCACATATAAGTGATATCATACAATATTTGTTTTTTTCTGACTTACTTCACTTAGTATGATATTATCCAGGTCCATCCATGTTGCTGCAAATGGCAATATTTCATTCTTTTTTATGGCTGAGTAAATTTCCATTGTTGTTTGTGTATATATACACCACTTTTTTATAGTCTATTGAAGAACGCTGCATTTGACCTGTAGAGGATCTCATCACATGGATTCTGGAGTCGGTATACCTGTGTCTCCATGTCTCTTTTCTGTGATGTTATTAGCAGTGACCTTTAATGCATAGATCTATTACTTCATTGACGGCTACAAAAGTCATGCTCCAATTCTATCATTTCTATTTTTACTTATTAATTTAATACTTTTATAAAAAGGCACTATTTGGTTATGCAGTGGAAAATTCAAATTGGAAAGGTAAATGCCTGAGCCTGCCCCCGCCTTTTATTTATTTATTTATTTTTGGCTGTGCTGCACAGCATGTAGGATCTTAGTTCCCTGACCAGGGATCGAACCAGCTTCCCCTGCTTTGGAAGTGTGGAGTCTTAACCACTGGACTGCCAGGGAAGTCCTGAGCCTTCCCTTTTATGTACTCATTTTCAAAGTAATTAATTGGTTTCCTATCATCCTTCAATATTAATCAATTAGTTTTAAAATATATTATTATAAATAAACGCCTTTCCCATCATTGACGAGTAAGAGCCTCTTCAAATTGGCTCTTGAAAACTTCAATTTGGGAATTAGGAAAGCTTGTTGCAACTGGAGTGCATTCCATAACTATGTAGTTAACAAAATAGAGTAGAAATGAGCATTCCAATAGCATGAGTTCATATAGATATTTCCAATTCAAATTTAGGCCTACAGATTTTTTAACTTAACTCTTCAGTATTAAAACTATATTTCCTTTCTTCCATTCTAAAAATCCTCAATATCACAAGTGATAGAGTTAGAATAACTTGTAATTTACTCATTTGCTTTGTACATTAGACATATGATAATCTCAGAATAACAATACTAATACTACCACCTCCAATATAATTAACAAGAATAGTTAAAAGTATTCTTTTCATAAAAGCCTTCCTCACTTACTCCACAGTTTAAAACTATCTGAGCACATAGCTATTCAAATACTCTCTACATTTTAACCTTTATTTAGTCTTATTTAGACCTACAAATATCCATAGGTTTTAATGCTGCCCGCTAGTCCTTACGGTGACGTTTTGTAGTCATTTTAGTAGTCTGAAGTGTAATGTTTAGTAAATTCCTCAGGAAGGGCTCATGGGAGCAATATTTCCTGAGTTATTACATATGATAACAGTTTGGGCCTTTATAGTTGAAATCAGTTTTGCTAGGTATAAAACCCTAATTTTTTCCCCCCTTGCATACCTTAAATATGTTACTGTATTTTCTTTTGGGTTAAAACATTACTATCAAAAAGACTGATGATAAATTAATTTCTTCCCTCTTATAGGTCAATTTCTTTTTTGTGCCTAATGTCAAAAGTCTTTTTTTCTTTTTTGTTTGAAGCCCAGTATTTCTTGTCATTGGTCATTTTGAGACTATACTTTCATGAATGTGATATTCTTTTTCAATATGTAATTTTAACTCTTCTTTATATAAGAAAATTTTCCTGAATTGAAATTTTTAGTATTTCTCTTTCTTTTTCCCTTACTCTTCCTGCATCCCTTGGGCTGCCATTGATGTTTGCTGGATCTTCTCTCTTGGACTTCCTTTGCTATCTTCAATATTTCTCACTTTGCAATTATTATTTTTTAAAAATCTCTTCTTTCATTTACCTCTGGTTTTTTAATTTTTTCACTTTTTTACCTTCTATTTTTCCTAAGGTGTTACCTATTGTGTTTATGTTTGCTTGTGTTTCTCTAATTCATTCTTTATCTCTGAAAAGATGGTTTCTTTTATTTCTGTTTTTTTTCCTGAGGTCTAGAAATATACTTGAGGGCTTTTCTTCATGCTTTAAAATTTTTTTTTATGTCTTAAGTAATTTTTAATGTATTTAGTTCATTTTGAACTAGCAGGTTATAGTTCATCTATACTATATTTTGGGGGGCATTTTTCGCATAAAAACTGCATGGAATTTGACCTCAATATTTTTTTGTTTCCTATTTTGATGTGAAATTTTTTTTTTTCTGAACTTTTAGTAGGAATTCTAGTTCTGAGAGATTTTCTAAACTTCTCTAAATTCCTTCTTCTCTTGTTTTCGCCGAACACTGGAACTATAGAAACTTGCTTTCTAAGATTTCCTGATTTTATTTCTTCCCCACTTTTCTCTGAAACTTTTTTCCCCTTCATTTCTGTTTTAATTGTCCTGTTCAATTTTGATTCCACTGCAGACAGTTTTTCCTCAGCCTAGGAGACCTATCTGCTCTAACCTTTTCAGATTATCTTATTGTGGGCCCCTCAACTCACCTCATATTGGATTTGGCAAAAACACTATCAGTTTTAGTAGTTGTTTTCAAATTGCACTACTATTGTTTCTGCATATTTTGAGGTTCTCCTTTTTTTTAGTTCTGTCATACACCTTGTTGCTTTTCTGTGCTTTCTCATGCACAGATGCTGATATGAGTCTTGTGGTCATTTGTGGTTCGTCCTCAATCAATTATATTTTGAAGTTTACAGGCATACCTTGCCACCTTGACTTGCTGTAAATATTGCTTATGAGTTTTTGGATATACTATCTAGTGTTTTGTATGCTTTACCATCTAGTTGCTCTCTCTGCGTTTATGAGAATCAAAAGCTATATTGCTATAGCCATCCTCCCACAATCTCCTCTTACTCCCTTTTTTTGATGACACATCATAGTGGTTAAGAGTACTGACTCTGGAATAAAACTACCTGGGTTAAAATCCCAGATAACAATACCACTTATAAGCATTGTTACCTCGACACACCCCTGTACTCTAAAATTGTGATAATACAATTTATCTTAAAGGGTTATTATAAGATTACATGAACTAATATTTTTAATGCACTTATAATGATTCCAGGTATGTGATGACTGCAATGTATGTGTTTGTTAAATAAATTTCAGTTTTAATATATATTAGTCATTTAAAACTTCAATTAATATATCATTCAAGACATAGAAAAGTACTATCAATGCCATTTCTTTATTACCTAATTAAAAATAGTAATTCATACTCTAGTTGATTTGATCCATAGCGTTGTTTAGAATAAGGAAGAGACCACTGAGTCAATGAATGGTCAGGTGAATAAAGTGCTAACAATTCAAACATAAAGAGTTATATAGTATAATGAATTTTAAATAATAAGTTTACCATGATGTTCTAGCAACAAAGACGTACTTAAGTTACTGACGCTTTAAGTATTATTCAAGAAAATAATTGTTAATCTTTCTAAAGTTATTTAGGTATTAACTTGAAGGATAAGACAATGAATAGTCAGGATATTTTCAGTCTTCCTTGATTCATGTGTCATCTGCCAAATTTAAATAGCTCCCTAACAATTTCATCTTCATATCACTATACAGAAAATGCAACCAGCTGTTGCCTATTTCCAATGACCCACAGAAAATGGTTGTAATTTGTAATAGGAGCAATTTAGGTTTGATGTAAGGAAGAATTTTATGAATGCGAAAGAAGTTCATGAATGTGTAATTTAGGAAATGAGACTGTAGACACCCCTTATGTTGGCTTATTAAAAAATAGGATAGTTATTAAAGGATATATTGGGATGGTTCTTTGATAATGACCATTTATTTAAAAAAATAATACTAATAACAATAAAATAATACCAGAGGGCTATTATCCATTAAGAAATAATAATATTATTGATAATTATTTAATAATATGCAAAGGTTAAATAATTATGAAGAACTAGGAAAAAATAAGTATTCTATAAAAGCTCATAGAAGACTATCAAAGTGACATTTGGAAAAGAATATATAAAATATTTTTAAAAAGAGACTAGCTTTATAAGCATGTAAATTTAGAGGAACAAGAGCAAGCCAGTTACTTTAACAAGGACCATAAATGCCTTGTTAGAGAAAAGCATGGTGAATCAATCAGAGTTAACGTACTGGCTAATATGTTGTCTTTTAATTGGTTTCTCCATTATTGGCCTATCAAGGTTAATTTTGTGTGTGTTTCGACTTACCACAGGTTACTGGTTTGTCTTCTCATCCACAGCAGAGTTCAAAATGAGCACAGATTCCCCACAGAGCAAGTGCTATGAACAATGCAGCAGATCATCTGCCTTTGGATTTTCTTTCTACTGTCAGGTGTGTTGCTCAACATGAGGCCAAGAGTGTGGACTGTTTACACTGAGAATAGACAGCACTGAAAGCTAAAATATTAGCATGTGATATGAGTATAAGTCAGTTCTCACTGTGGTTGTAACTGGTCCTCTTCTGCATGATATGCTGCCTTCAAGCTCATGATAAAGAGGTCATTTTCTTTTATTCTCGTTTAAATCTTTTCCCCTCATTTTATTTTCCAAATGCCAAATTTACAATTACAACCAAGATAAACCTGCTGACTTAGGTGGCTTACAATTCCAGAACATGTCCCATGGCACAGACAATTAAAGAATAATTAATATATGTAAAACAGACCAGTGAAAATTGGCAAGTAATTCCAATTCACAGAATTGCTAATTTTAAATACTTTTTCTGAATTTGACATCATGTTGAGAGGAATGGGGCAGTTGCACCAGGCCGTATCTACAAACTCTAACTTTATATTTTCACAGTCAACCTGCTACCATTATATTATGTGACTGCATACTTTTGACTGATAATATTGATGAAATTGTGGCACGAGCTTTGCCAGTGTGAGACTTACACATTTGAGTGAATAATGAAATATTGAATCAGTGACTTGCCAAGTGTCAGAATATTTTTACCACATCAATATTTTGAAATACGTCTTATATTTTAGTTGTGTGGAGCACTTTATATTTCATCGTCAGTAGTTGATTTGGGTCACATTTTGCATGTGACTTAATTCAAAATGATGCAACAGACTCAGAAGCTTTCTTATTGTCCTGCAAAGCCAGTCTAATTAAATTTTATCTCTTATTATTGGCATTCATGACCAGTTCTAAGTTTCAGGTTAGAAAATTAAGCAATAACATTTGATACTAATATTATGGCAATTGTTTTTTTGAAATGTTCTCATTCTAGAAAATATAGCATATGTATTATTTTTTGTAATTTAATGTCCATTGTTTGAATTAAAATAAATCTTTGCATTTCCTATTGAGTGAATAATACTTTTATTGTTTTCTATTGAAGGTAATTATTTAATTGGTTTCCTAGTCTTTTCTTCTTATAATGAATTATCAAAAGATTAATACTTGAGAACTTGTCATATCACTTTCACAACATGCTTTAACAAGAAATATAGTACAACTCAATATCAAAAAAACAAACAACCCAAATAAAAATGGGCAGAATGCCTGAATAGACATTTTTCTAAAGAAAACATATAGATGAAAAGATGCTCAACATTGCTAATCATCAGGGAAATGCAAATCAAAATCACAATGAGATGTCACCTTACACTTGTCAGAATGGCTATCATCAAAAAGAATACAAATAACAAATGTTGGCAAGGATGTGGAGAAAAGGGAACTTTGGACACTGTTTGTGGGACTGTAAATTGGTGCAGCCACTGTGGAAAACCGTATAAAGGTTTCTCAAGAAACTAAAAATAGAGCTACTATATGACCCTGCAATTCCACTCCTGGGAATATATTTGAAGAAAACTAAAACACTAATTCGAAAAGATACATGCATCCCAATGTTCCTAGCAGCATTATTTACAACTGCTAAGACATGGAAGCAACTTAAGTGTCCATCAACAGATGAATGGATGAAGAATAAGTGGTATATATATACACACACACACATACACACACACACACATAATGGAATACTACTCAGCAATAAAAGAGAAAAAAGTTTTGCCATTTGCAGCAACATAGATTGACTTGGAGGGCATTATGCTAAGTGAAATAAATCAGACAGAGAAAGACAAATACTGTATGTTATCACTTATATGTGGGACCTAAAAAATAAAACAAATGAATGGATATAAAAAATAAATAAAACATCTTGGGTGTTCCACAGGGTGGCTGCGGAGTCCTGGGATGAGAAACACCTGCATGCAGAGGGTGACAGAGACCCCGCTTTCCAGGCTTGTCAGTAAAAGTTTGGCTTTACCACCTGTCTAGCAACCCCCAACACCTTGCACCACCCAACCCCCTCGCCTCAGGAGCCCTGCCAAGTGTGGGAACGGACTCTGGCCCAAAGGCTTTGAGTGAATCCTCAAACCAGAGTTGGGGAGTGAACTGCGCATTTGCAGCTGCAAATCTATAGCCTTCACGGAGGCCAAAGGGGCAGCACCGCAGACTTCTGCCATGTGGCTGAAAGGGTCTCTGTGCTCTGGCCAGGTCAGGCCTGAGCCTCTGAGGTGGGAGAACCGAGTTCAGGACATTGGTCCACCAGAGACCTACGGTCTCCACATAATACCAATTGGCGAGAGCTCTCCCAGAGATCTGTGTCTCAACACTAAGACCCAGCTCCCCTCAACGACCAGCAAGCTACAGTGCTGGACACCCCATGCCAAACAACTAGCAAGACAGCAACACAACCCCACCCATTAGCAGAGAGGCTGCCTGAAATCATACTAAGTTCACAGACACCCCAAAACACACCACCGGACGTGGACCTGCTGACCAGAAAGACAATATCCAGCCTCATCCACCAGAACACAGGCACTAGTCCCCTCCACCAGGAGGCCTACGCAAGCCACTGAACCAAGCTTACCCACTGGGGGAAGACACCAAAAATAATGGGAACTACGAACCTGCGGCCTGCAAAAAAGAGACCACAAACACAGTAAGTTAAGCAAAATGAGAAGACAGAGAAATATGCAGCAGATGAAGGAGCAAGGTAAAAACCCACCAGACCAAACAAATGAAGAGGAAATAGGCAGTCTACCTGAAAAAGAATTCAGAGTAATGATAGTAGAGATGATTCAAAATCTTGGAAATAGAATGGAGAAAATACAAGAAACATTTAACAAGGACCTAGAAGAAGTAAAGAGCAAACAAACAATGATGAACAACACAATAAATGAAATTAAAAATTCTCTTGAAGGAATAATAGCAGAATAACTGAGGCAGAAGAACAGATAAGTGACCTGGAAGATAAAATAGTGGAAACAACTACCACAGAGCAGAATAAATAAAAAAGAATGAAAAGAATTGAGGACAGTTTCAGAGACCACTGAGACAATATTAAACACACCAACATTTGAATTATAGGGGTCCCAGAAGAAGAAGAGAAAAAGAAAGGGACTGAGAAAATATTTAAAGAGATTATAGTTGAAAACTTCACTAACATGGGAAAGGAAATAGTTACTAAAGTCCAGGAAGCACAGAGAGTCCCATACAGGATAAATCCAAGGAGAAACATGCCAAGACACATATTAATCAAACTATTGAAAATTAAATACAAAGAAAAAATATTAAAAGCAGCAAGGGAAAAGCAACAAATAACATACAAGGAATCCCCATAAGGTTAACAGCTGATCTTTCAGCAGAAACTCTGCAAGCCAGAAGGGAGTGGCAGGACATATTTAAAGTGATGAAAGGGAAAAAAAAGCCTACAACCAAGATTACTCTACCCAGCAAGGGTCTCATTCAGATTCGATGGATAAATTAAAAACTTTACAGACAAGCAAAAGCTAAGAGAATTCAGCACCACCAAACCAGCTTTACAACAAATGCTAGAGGAACTTCTCTAGGCAGGAAACACAAAAGAAGGAAAAGACCTACAATAACAAACCCAAAACAATTAAGAAAATGGTAATAGGAACATACCTATCGATAATTACCTTAAATGTGAATGGATTAAATGCTCCAACCAAAAGACATAGACTGGCTGAATGGATACAAAAACAAGACCCATATATTTGCTGTCTACAAGAGACCCACTTCAGACCCAGGGACACATACAGACTGAAAGTGTTATACAGCAGCAACTAACACAACAATGTAAAACAATTATACTGCAATAAAGCTGTTAAAAAAAAAAGGGGGAAATAAAGATTATATTTTTGGTGTAAATAAATAAATTAAAATGAGACATATGAAGTCTATGTAGAAAGAAGAACAGTGTTCTAACATTATGCAAAAAAAAGTCTGACCATAAAATTTTGTATTTACTGTGATGGTAACCATGTAAACACACATACAAAAATGCTATAAGGGAATATGTAAAAAATGAAAAATAGTTGTAATAGTGGGGTATGAGAGTCCTGCATTTATTTTCTAGACTTTAAAAATGTTGCTTTACTTCCTCTATAGTTGAAAAAAATGTATTAAAATTTAGGAAAACCAAAAAGAAATAGAATGTATCAGAAAATTATTTGCTAAGAAGACTATTTGCTATGTGAGTATATGTGTTTGTATATACACTCAAATATACAATTTACAGATTCACACAGTTTCAAAGGGAAAATAATTATGTGCTTCATAGCAAGTTGTAATTTATATGGTCATAAATAATAAAACAACAAGGTACTATAAATTTAATATATTAGGAATTCAATTAAATTTCTTTTGTGTAGCCAAACAACTTCAGGAATATTTTGGTATGAAGCTAAGATATGGTTGATAGGAAGTTGGTGGATAGAGAGTTAGTTCAATATAACTTATTAGAGAGCTTTGAAATGGTGAGACAAGAGCTCCATATTACTTCCAGGAAAAATTTTACAGATGGTTAAGATCTTTGCAGTTTCCTAGCATACCCACTCACTGCTGTCCCTACCCCTTTTGGTATGTGTTTTAAAAGGCATTATGTTCCTTTGATAATTTCTTTTCTCTGGCCATTGTCCCAGGCCTCAATTCATCTGAAACCCCTTTCTGTTTTGAGCAGAGATACAATCTTCCCTGGCAGTGATCTAGTAAATGAGAATTCAGTGTCAATTCACCCCTTCTAACTCGCTTACCTGGACCTTAAGATGACCACTTAACTGTCATTCAAAGTTTATTATCATCTTCAGTCTCCTCTTCATTGAAATTACATGTACTAGAATAACTAGTGTCAGAGCAAAAGTCACATTCCTGACAACTTACTATGTGCTAGGCTCAGTGCCATCAGCTTTACCTACTGTATTTCTCAAGACTCTTTCAAATGCAAGTTTGATATTTAACTTAGGCAAGAATGAAGGAACTTTATTGGCTTGCTAAACAGAAGAATCCATGTATGAATTCAGACAAAGCTGGATTCCAGAGCTCAAACAATGATATTGGTAATATTAATTTTAATTTTCATTCTATCTTTTTTTTGGTTTCATTCTACAGGAAGTCTCCTTCTCCATATTTAGGAAAATGGATGCCTACAGCCACAGATGCAGATCCTCCTGGTGGCTACTGGTAGATAAATATAATTATGCATATACATGTAAATATGTGTGTAATATAACATTATATGTCTTAATTCATTTGATACTCATAACAACCCTTATGAGGCAGATGCTAGTTTTTAAATATCAATTTTGGTTTTGAGGAAACTGGAACACAGACAAGTTTGAGTAACTGTCTCAAGGTCACACAGCTCCACAGTGGTAGACCCAGGTTCCCAATCCAAAAAGTCTTACATTAGAAATGATGCTCTTTACCACTCCACTATACTCTTTGACCAGTGACCATATATCAATAGAAGTACAGTGGAAGTCTGTGATGGCTCAGCCTTATTTATGTCCTGTGCCAGAACTGATCACTGTATGGTTGAATCTTAAAATCATGCTGCTTGAAAGACACCAGGTAAATAGAGTTTATATTGTGTAAACTTTACATAGAATTCTAAAAAATGAAAATTGATCTAGAGTTACAAAGTAGATCAGTAGTTGTCTGAGGCTGGGTCGCATGAGAGATGGATAGCAAAGGAGAAGAAAAAAACTTGGGGGAAAAAGTTCTGTATCTTGAATTTGGTGGCACTTTTAAAAGAATGTATATTGGTCACATTTAACAAGGTTTAATATTTAAATGTGTACAGTTTATTGTATACGAATTATGCCTCAGTACATTTGTTAAAAAAGAAATATATATGTGTGAGAAAACAACAGATTTATAAGCAGTAGGAAATTGCAAAGAATAATGGTGAGAGAAAAAGAATAAACAGTAAAAAAGAGAGCAAGTTGGGAATTCCCTGGCTGTCCAGTGGTTAAGACTCACCGCTTTCACTGCTGATGGTGTGGGTTCAATCCCTGGCTGGGGAACTAAGATCCTGCAAGCTGCGCATTGCAAGCAAAAAAAAAAGAGAGCAAGAAAACTGATCAGCCACCAAAAAGAGAAGAAAAACATTTTGGATATGAAAAACATTCCACTTAATACATAATATAGATTTGTAGAATTTATATAGGGATCTTCCATTGTCAATAATTTATAGGCATCTTTTTCTTCTACATTAGCTTAGATATTAATTTGGTTTTTTTGACAAAATAATAAAACAATTTGAAAAATTTCTAACTTACTGTTCAAGGCACCAACATGTTAATGTGTTATTGGAGTTAGTTCATAATAGATGGCTATATTCCCTTGGCCTAGTATAATCATTCTCTAGTTCATATTGAGAGGAATAAATTGTAACATAGATAAAACCATGAGTCCAGCAGAGAACACAGTGTATCCAGCTCATAAATTTGTGCACACATAAGACAGTATTATAGTTGTAAAATATGTATAGTGGCTCCACCTTTTCTCAGATCATGACATATTTACAAATTGTAATTTCCTCTAGAGATGTACTGTGACTAAATTATCGTCTGTTTTTGCTCCAGTGCTTTGAGGAAAAAAAATACATCTAATTCATCTTGGTTTAGATAGTACTAGTGAAATATGTAAACTTAGTTCTTTTCCTGTGAATTTCATTCCCTGTAAACATCAAAGCAAATATGGGAAATTGATTTTTACCAGCATAGAATGCATAATCTGCAAGCTTGGAAATGATATTAAATACAAAACTGAATATTTTAGGAAAATCTTTGTGGTGAGGTCACATTATTCATACACAAGCAAATAAGATTTATGTGAATTCCTATAAACTGGTGGGTATTGAAATTTCCAGTAAAGGAAATCATGAATATACATCTATGACTAGCTTCTCATCTACAGAGGCCTGTGCTAGTTTGCAAACTTATCTACTGAATTAATTGCACATTAGACACAGATTAGATATGTATGGAGTGTGAATTTATGGAAAAACAGCATATTTCTTTTGGGAGAGAACTTCCATATAACTCCTTACAGAGCATTGATTCACGGGATTTTACAAAGGAACTTGGGAGTTTGCTTGTTCACATTTCCCACCCCTTTCTTACTCACTGTGTTTCTAGAATATCTTCTATAACATGACAAATATATCAATTTATCATCTGAATTAACGCTTCCCATGTTGGAGAGCTACTGCAGCTAATATTTGAGTGCCTTCCACGTGCCAGACAATAATAGATTTTTATATTCATCAACACTGAGAGAGCTTTTACAGCAAAGTACTTTATAACATAGTAACTCAGTTATACCTCCAAATGCCCTGTAAAGTAGGTGGTATTAACACATTTCACAAATGATGAAATAGCTTGTAATTGGTAGAGCAGGGATTAAAACTGAGGTAGTCGGTGTCCAATGTCTCTGTTTTGCTCTTGTCCATTATACTGTCTCATATTGTGCTATGTGCTTTTTCGTATATTATATCATTTAATTCATACAGTAATATCACACTCACTAGAGACTATTGTGTCTAATGTACAGACTTAGAATAAGAATATCTTATTTATTCTTATTAATAAGAATAAGACTTAGAATAAGAGTATCAATATCTGAGACATGAGTTTCCCACTTGCTATGTGATCTGGTACAAATTAATCCCTTTTACCTTGGTTTTCTTATCTATCATATGGGAACAATCACCGCTTTGTCTGTCTCTTAGAGAAGTCATATAGATTAAAGAAAACACTTGGTGTTAAAACACAATGAAACCTTTAGAGCTATATTAGTGTAATATAGCTATATTTATTTCTTACAAGGCAGCCCATGAGAATAGCTCTAATTATTCAAATTTTCTTTTTCTGAATAGAAACTACCCCCCCCCCAGGGGCTACATTGAAACTTCGTTACTTTTTTTTTAAAGATTAAGAGTTTTGGAGCCATCAAAGTTTTGCACTAAAGGCTTCATCTTCTTATTTATGCTCTCTGGTTTAAGATAGATGTCCAGTCCTATGTACGATACTCTAGATATGTCATGACCAGTACAAAGTATCATCAATTTGTTCAATTATCATTTTGTATCATATCATATACATATAAATTGTGCAGGATAACATTTCTATTAATAATTAAAGCCCAAGGTTTAAACTTTTTGTCAGTCTCATCTGAGGGACAATGGATTTTGAACTTGTTGCCAACAGAAAAATAAAATTTTCTTTCATACGAATTGCTGATGTTAAACTGGGCATAGTTTTATCCACCTTACAGATAATGGTTTGGGTACTAGGACAGTATAATTTGGGGAAGGATCTATGTAGATTCTCAATTTTATTCTGGATCCTTTTTTCTCATTTTTTGGTCATAGGCCCAAGTTTGGTCTGAGCATTGTGAATTGTAGAAATCAAAATAACCCCAACTATTCTTTGCATAAACAGTAAGTGGAATGACTACTTCTTATCTAGTTTTTCTCCACCCTAATAAAGGCAATGGTATTTATATACAGCATCTTCTACTGCCTTCCAACCAGTGAACCATGAAGAGCAGTAAAACATCCTAATTTTATAGCCTGTCCTTTGTGAATTCTTCCATGTATAATGCTTGAACTAGAGTCAAGGGAGTAGAAGAAGTGCATTCCATTTCTTGCAAGGACAGCAGTAAAATTCTCACTACCTTTTAAATGGCCTGCCTATGAAGACTGTGCTTAGTGATAAACCATTTCACTTTCCTTCCTTCTGAAATAATAAACTGCATTTTCTTTTATAGTTTATTTTTTGCAGGCCTAGTGCAAAAATTTACATTATATTGTCATGTGTCTGTGTTGGAAAAAACATCTCCAGATCTTACATTTAATTTTTTGGTCAGGTTTGTAAGAATTACTACCCAATGTATAAAAGTACTTGCTCAACCAACTCGAATTTTTTGGTGAGGTTTTAATAATTAACCATAACACTTCTTGTTTTATGCCATTAAAAACATGGCTTACATGACAGGATGTGGGTATCTGAAGTGGAGGCTAAGTGTGTGATTTGGCTGCAAATCAGAAGCAAAAGTCTCCGCGGAATTACTAAAGGCTTATTCTCTTGAGAAAGGTAATGTTTCACCAAAAATGATAAACTATTATAAAAACTTAATGAAAATGTTGTATACAAGCAGTTTAGAACATTTTAAAAGTCATCTATCAGTTCAAAATTACTATAAGCTCTACCCTCAGTTGGATGATAATATTCACCTTATTAACAATGATCAGAAGGAAATAGGACTACTTGTGGAAAAAATTTACATAGTCATTCAAAATAGGATGGAAATTAAAATATGACCATGTGTTTAATAGTATAATTAAAAGAACTAAGCCTTTTTTTTTGTTAAAAAATAAAGCTATGATGTGCTGGAAAAAATTAAAGTAAAATTTACTTTTGCGTATGTGGTAGGCAGAATAATGGCTCCATGCCCCAGTCCCTGGAATTTGGGAATATGTTACCTTACATGGTGAAAGTACTTTGCAGGTGTGATTAAGTTAAGCATTTTGAGATGGGAAAGTTATCTTGGATTATCTGTGTGGGCCCAAGGTATTCACAAGGATCCTTTTAAGGGAAAGTGGAGGCAAGAATATGAGAGAAGCTATGGAAACAGAGGTTGCAGTCCTGAAATTGCTGGCTTTGAGGATGAAAGGGGGCTAGGAGCCAAGGAAGCTGGAAAAGGAAGGAACAGATTCTCCCCTAGAGGCTCAGAAAGGAATCAGCGCTTCTAACACCTTGATGGCAGCCCTGTGAGACTCATTGTGAACTTCTGACCTCCAGAACTGTAAGGGAATACATTTGTGTGGTGTTAAGCCACTAAGTTTATAATAATTTGTTATAGTAACAGTAGGAAACTAATATAATGCAACATGTGAGTTTTATTTTAGTTCTAGAATATAAATTCTTTAAATACTAAAACAACATCAGTATTCTTCCATAGTCTTGAATATAATAACTTTAAATATCTATTGAAAGCAAATGTTTTTGTGCTTGGGCATGAACTATGACTTTTAGATCTCTTGAAATGTTAAAAACTATTGAATTGAAATTCTTAATTATTAAGTTAGATGTTAACTTTGTATATGAGAGCCTCTAATTCAACTTCTTTAATGCTAGTGATCTAAATTAGCTTTTCAGATAAGCTAAAACAAC